CTATGCAGGTGGGAGCTCTTCCAGAGGCCAGCACCAACTGATGGAGACTCAACTCTTAGTTCCTTTGCATCATATTATCCAACATTATTGGACTGAAGGGATGCATGATATGGCATAGTGCACCTCACTGAGCTTTAAGGTGCCACGCTATCCTAGAAACAAGAGTCAGCATCCACAAGAAATTGACCTTTCTGAAGAGAGGAAATAAGCAGAAGTTTCTTATATGAATTTTTACTAGCATTAAAAAAAGATTAGAGATGAGCACTAAAGCTAAACAAAAGCAGTGGTTTCTCCAGAAAACCTTTATGCCCATTTTCCTAACAGTGCACTATGTAACTATGTACATCACAGGTTTTGGATGGAGCACATCTGATTTGCTTCTTCCTACCTGTGTAGGAAAAGAAACAGAGGCTGCCATAACCCCAAAGGTCCCACCCAATCAGCTCCCAACCACCACAATAAGCGTAAGCACAATACAAAGGCCTTTAATTTCCTACAGTCGCTTATGTCAGAGGCAAACTGCTCTACACTTTATTACACAGAAAAATGCAAGTGTACCTGTTGTGCATAAACAAACTCAGACTTTGATACTTTAGTTACATAAAATCTTTAGCACATAGAGAATCACCACCCGGTCAATTATTCACTTTTACATGGACAGGTTTCTGCTCAAATCTCTAAGTCACACTGATCTACATAGATTTTCCTGCATATTTTAACTACATTTCCTCTTCTACTTTCTTTTGAAATTCCCAAGGCAGTCTGAGTACTAATTCCATCTCCAGCAACACACTCACAGACATTGTGTGTACATAAACAAGTATGTCTCTTTTTTCATTTATACCTCACTTCTCCCAGCACCCACCCTGGTTTACTTTGAAACTTGATGTCAGTTCCTATCACACCACTGAGCCTGTTCCCCGCCTCCCCTCCCTCCCCCGAAAGAAAAGAAAAAGAAAAAAAGAAAAAGAAGGGGAAGAATCACAAGAGCAGCTAGATTTATGATAAGCTATAAACTACCCTGACCAAAGTCATATGATTGTAACAGTAGAAATTTTAATATATTTTTCTTCTGTTGGCATAAGTTTTTATCAGCAATAAAACAAGATTAGGGAATTTTACTTTAAAAAAAAGTTGATGTTTAAAACCAAATCTTTGAGAATAGCCTTGTGTTTGGAGGTACAGAAAAAGCTAGGCAAATTTAGCTTGGAAAAGCATGCTTTTTTTTTTAAACCTTAAAATACAGCACATTGAGAATCTTACACAGCTTGGTCATATCCTTTTCCTTACTTTTGTCTTCAGTTGCAAATCTCTTGTGGTATGAGTCACATCTCTCTAAAAGCATGCATACAGTAGTCAGCAGAATCCCCTGATCGTATTCATGCGCCACAAAGAAAAACTCTTTTCAACTTTTTGGTTACTAAAGTTACCTTAAAAGTGGGGGGTCAAGGGTCATCAGAAACGACCCCGAGTCCATTAAAAGCAAATAGTAGCTTGAAATTAATGTAGTTATGAGATGTGGAAAGAGTATCTTACTGGAATGTTGATGTTCTAAATCCAGAGTCTCAAAAATAAGAGGGCTGAGCTGGCAAATGGCAGCCCTGCTGTAGCTGAAATGTACTATCTTGCTATATTTAAAGACAATACCTCAACAGTTAAGTATTAGAACATTTTAAGTGAGATAAATAAGCATAAGACACAGGCAAATATCCTTGGTTATTTAATCATCCTGAAAGCAGGGTGGAAGTGTGAGGGGGAGTTCAAAGGTCAAACTCTTCTTTCAGCTGCTTGCAAAGAAAAGAAAGCTTAGCCCATTTTACCTTGGGGAGGAGAAGGGGGGACGGGGCTGTTCCTTCCATATGCCAGTGGTAGTTGCACATTTCATAACACAGGAAAGAGGGAGTGTATTTACATACCCAGAGCATGGAATCCTTTACCAGGACAATGAATTCCATATCAAGATTCAGGTTAGAAAGAGTTGGGACAAAAAAAAGTCCCCAAGAACAAAGGGAAGTCAAAATTTACTTAACGTTTCCCCAGAGCTTCTTAGTTACAAAAATCTGAGTTTGTAATTAAGAGTTTATTGTAATCACTGTTTCGACAGTCAAGGGAAACTCAGAGTTCCCTTTTGAAATTATTTCCCCTGATCACAGTAATAACTTAGCACTCTGTTCATATAAAATGTGGTATTAATCTAGCAACCCTGTTCTACATGAAAGTATAGCAGTAAGGGGAAGGTACTTTCTGAAGGTTAGAAGTGCTCAAAAAGGAATTTTTGAATGTGATCTCATGAAAGAGGAAGCCAAAATGAAGTAACCTTTCATAAGACAGTCTGATAAAGGTGCTAAAGTTTATTAGCTTCCCTTTCCCAGCCCCTGTGCTATATCTTGCTCCCCCCACCCCTACCAAAACAAAGAAAAAAAAATATTCACTTAAAATTAAGGAAAAAATCCTCTAATCCAAAGCCTGGAAGCCATTCTGTAAAGACTACTTTATATGAAACTTTGTTTACAAGATACAAATATAGTCCTCTTACCACATTCAAAACCAGAAAACATCCACTTATTTAAAGAAATACTTTTTCTATTTTGATCATCAAGAACGTAGGTACTCATTTTAAATGTAAATCCAGCCCAATAGTGCCATATGAATGTTTTAAATTCATGTATGATATGCACTGTTTAAGAATGTTTAAACAAAGGAAGTAGGAAAACCCTCAAAATACACAGTAAAACTTAATGACTTTAATTTAAAAATATATATACTGATTGCAGCATGGTAAAATTATTCTCTTATGCTTACAGCCAGTCTTCAGAAAGGCTAAGTGCAGGCAGTGTAGTAATTCGTCCCACTGGAAATTCTGTATAAAACATCTACCTAAAATAAACAAGGCTTCTCAGCAAGAATCGTCAGCTGCCATTAAGGACACACCTTAAAGTTCTTACCACACAGTAACTAAACAAGTACAAACTAGTGGGGACTGTTTGCTACTTTTGTCTGAAAAGTTAATGAGATCAATTCACTCCTTAGTATCAGATCTGAAGGTAGTTTTCTTAAAAACGCAAGAGACAAACAAGCCCAAAACACGAATACCCAGGACTCAGCGCCTGATGTGTTATCAGAAATGCCTAAGGTTCTTGTAAACACGAATATAAATATTAACGTTTAAACCTGACACCACAGAGTACTAGAAGGTAAAAATGCTTAACTGCTAGGAATACGAGTGCTCTGGTGCTGGCAGGCAGCTGTTGTTCCCCTGCCTTTTCTTTTGTTGTGCTTAATCTCATGTCAAGTCATTCAACCAACTCCAAAGCGATGAAGACATAATTGAACAACCTTAACTAAAAAAACTGATCTACTGTTCTTAAATAGCCCGGTATATTGTTTAACCATGCACAAAGACTTACATATTTTAAAAGAATCTCCAGAATTTAAATCAGCAACTCCGGTGCCGGCAGAAGAGCTGCTGGCTGTAGGCCAAGCCAATCAATAATCCCTGTAATAACCGCGTTTCTAAAGTTATTTGCTTTTCATATTCATCACCCTAACAAACTCAAAAGGCAGAACTTGAAAACTCACACTGATTGCAAACGGGAGCCGAAAGAGAGAAAACCCGAATATTTCGCAGGGAATTACAGTATTGCTCCTTTTCAAAAGTGCTGCAGAAAGATCAGTGATCACAAAGCCACATTCCTGCTACAGATCTTAAAATATTGACTCAGTTACAGAACTAGTTAAAGGGGAAGAAAAAAAAAAAAAGCCTCCTCCACCCTTTCCCCCCTGCCCTCCCCCTCGGCCAAAGAATGCAGCTTATCCTTCTGATTTAAAACCGTCCTTCTGTGTTATCCCAGGAAACGCTTGAACATTAGGGTGGACATCCCGAATTAAAGTCTCAGCCGTGTTCCCAAACCCACAGGCAGTGGGAGCTCCTAGGAGCAATAAAACATGGCGTGAAAGCGCTTGCAAGCCATTGTCATAGCTCGGTGCTCCGATACCTTTGCAGACACAGAGCCAGCCCCCCCCCAAGCAACGAGCATGTAAGCCCTGGTCAGCAAGTCAATGCCTGCTATTCAACTTGTAGTTAGGCGTTTTATTTCGGTGTCTTCCAGATCGTATCAGTCCTGCAGCTCAGGGCCTAATAAAATGTGAAGAATGATATGCTCGGTCTCTCGTTGCATCTGAAACTGCGTTATTTCCCTCTCTTCTTTTTCACACATTCTTACAAAAACTTCCCTTTTCACATACTTCTATAAGAAAACATTTCACTGCACCTACTTCAGTTCCTATTTCTATTTTCGATTTTCACTAGATGCTTCTGCTACTGCCTTCCCCTCAAACCCACCGGCTAGAAACTGATGGAGTTTTAAAGCTCTCAAGGTCATTTCAGAAAGAGGAAAAAAAAAAAAAAAAAAAGTGTTGTTGCCTTAAAAAAAAAAAAAAAAGCTTTAAGCACACAAAAACCCTAAACTAAACCCCTTTCAGATCCAAACGCCTTTCATCAGCAGATCAATAACACAGCATAAAGATTGTTGTTCACCGCCACTTCAAAACTATTACACTTCAATTCAGATACTTACTAGGAGTCACACAGCACGTTTATGGGATGGCTCATTAGAGTACACACAGCTCACTCTGGCTGCAGGTTTTCTGTGTGGGAAACAAATAAACACCCCCCCCCTCCACCCCCAGGAACAGAAAGTCCGGCGAGTATCACGGAGCAGGAGTGAAATTCAATCTCTAGATATTCTAGAATTTTATTGTCCTCGCTTGGCAACGTCTTTGTTGCCTAAGAAGTCAGTTGGGGCTTATTTATTTATTTCCTAAACTTCCTATTCCTCTTATAAAAAAAAAAAAAAAAAAAAAAAAAGAGAGAGAGAAAGGAACACGATGCCTGGGAAATTAGGAGGAAGGGTTTAGCCTTTAGGAGAAAAAAAAATGGCAAAACGGATCGATAAACTTTTCATTAACCCCCCCATCCCCGGCCCCACTGAGCCACTTACTCCAAATCCTTCCTCCAGGACCATCTCGGGCTCACAAAGAAGCGGGTGCCCCCTGCTCCCCCCGAGCCCCGCCTGGGCGCTGGGAGAGCCCCGGGGAGGCAGCAAGGGAAGGGGCAGGGGCCGCAGCGGGACCTGGGGACACCTCCTGGCCGCGGGGGGCGCAGAGGGGAGGCGACCCCGAGCGGGCGAAGGAAGGAGCCGGGCAAGGCTGGGAGGCACCGGAGGGAGGCTGGGAGGGAAGGAGAGAGGCTGGGAGGGAGGCAGGGAGGCTGGGAAGGGCTGCGCTCGCCCCCCACCGCCCCCAGGGAGGGGCTCGTTACCTGCTGCTGCTCCGCCGCCTCTCACCTGCCCCCCCCCCCTCCTCACCTGCCCTTCCTCCTCCTCAACCTCCCCCCCCTCCACACACACACACCCTCCAGGCTCCGGGACAGCCGCGAGGGGGCCCCCCCAGCCCCTCACAAAGCGGGGACCCCCCCCGCAGAGGTGCTGCCCCCCACCACCACCTCCCTCCATCACACGGGAGCCAGCCCCGCGGGGAAGGGGCTGTGGCTCCCCTCCCGTGAGGATATGAGTAGGGGGGGGACACGAGTGGATTGGGGGGGTCCAGAGGGGAGCCCCCCTCACTGCAGCCGACCCTCAGCCCTCCCTCACCTGCGCCTGAGCCGCCTCCCCGGCCGGCATCCTGAGGTGGGGGCAAAGAGGGACGGAGGGGAGCGGGGGCGGCCGCCCGCGGTGCCGCCGGAGCCCGGACTCGGCGGCGGTGCTGGCGTTCGGGGCACTGTTTGTAAACCGCTCCCGCCGCAGCTGTTGCTCGGGCAGCCCCCGGCCGCCCGCTCCGCCCTCACGGCAGGCCCTGCCCCTCGCCTCCCTTCCCCTCCTTTCTCTTCTTCCCTTCCCCGCCTTCTCCCGGCCCGGAGCCGGCAGTGAGGAGTGGGGCGGTCCAGCAGTGCTCCCCCCACGCTGCCTTCTCCGCGGCTCCCTTGAGGGGCCGTTGGGCCTTGGAGCGCCGCCGGTGGTTGCCCCTGGTGAGCCGAGCCGGCCTTCGTGGGGCACGGGGCTGGTGTGTGTGTGCGAAGGGGCCGCAATTCAGCCCCCGGGGCCCCATCGGCTGCCTCTTTGTAAATGTAAATACGGCCATACGCCTCGGAAGGGGCCGCCATCAGTGGGCTTTTGTAGGCCCCGGTGGGGCGAAGCGGCTTGGGCCGGCTCGGGGTGGCACGCTGCCCCGGTGACCCCTGACTGCTGCAGAGTAGTTAGCTTAATAAATATATCCATAAAGAGTACAGTAAAATGAATAATAAATAAAGAGTACAGCCAAGTGAATAATAAACGCGACCAGCACGTGGAGGTACTGGCCATGAGGGGAAGAACAGAGAAAGATGGCGGTTTGTCTGTCACCTCTCCTTACGGATTGGCAAGCACTTGCAGCCTAAGAACAGGGGAAACGTGTAGGCTTAAAAACAAACAAACAACAATAAATTATCTCATATATTCTATGTATCTATGGTCATAAGCACTCGGCTGTTGAGTGTGGCACAGTGTTACTTCTCTAAAGGTATGGGCACTAAAGTGGAATTAAACGCAGCAGAGAAACTATAAGAGTTAATTATAAGAGATTATAAATTAAAAACTTCATTGCAAGAAGATTCACTATAATAGTTCAGTATTCATTATAAGAGTTTTTAAGTATTTCAGCTGGAACCACGGAGCTTCTTAGGAGTTAAATTAAATCTGTAATACTGTTAGCAAAGTGCTTAATCTCTGCTAGACCTGAGGTTAGCGCCTTCTTCAAGTAAATGGGATAAGAAAGAGGCGAGGTTTCCATGTGGCCTCTCCTCCTGTTTTTTCCCCAAAGACACACAGAGACCTGTTAAAGTCAGGTTAGTTCACATCAGTAGGTTGAGATCACACCCAGGAGCTTATTTGCTTCCACATAAAATCATCCTGACTGAATGGAGGACATTTCTAAAATAACTGCAACTAAAAGTATACATTTGTTTTGTTTTGACATTAAAAACAAACAAACAAAGCTTTTCTCAAACTGTTCTCCCAGACTGAAATGAACAACAGTGCTCAGGCTGAAATTTAGGTCACTTATATGGCAAATAAAGATTAATCAAAAACATTACAAAATGTGGCAATATTACTTACGACACCATTCTGGAAGATGAATTATCTTTATTGACAAATGTGAATCTTACATCACACTAACTTGAAGCGGAATTCTTTTAATGAAAAGAAGACCACAACACGAGGCCAAACTTTTAAAATTTCAATGCATAAGACCTTCAACTAGTCATAAAGGGAGGTGGCACACCCTTACTAGTTTCCTGAAGGTTAAAATACCTCTGGATCAGCTGTGTGAACTGAGAGCATGGGGGGTGGCCTCAGCCTGCTTCTTTACAGGTTATAAGTTGTTAGGACTTGGTCCTCCTGATGATTGATACAGGAGGAAACCGATGCAGTGCTTGTTGCACAATGAGCATTTTTAGTTGTTGTTTTTAAGTGTGATTTTTACAGTATCATGTATCTGAGCAAGGTGCTTATGCATGCCTGCAAAATATTCCACTGTATTGCAAGAGCTTCGCATTTCTTTGTAAGTTGCTGCACACTAATTTGTACTATGTGACCAAACCTGATCCCACAAACACTCCCAAGTTTAAGCACGGGAGTGGGTCCCTGCGCTTCAGCGGGTCTTGCCACTTACATTTATTTTGGTATCGATTTCCTGCAAATGGAAGCATGGCAGAAAGAACAAAGTAGAATCTCCCTGGAAATGGGTGTGAGCTACCAGGTTTGCTACCACCAGTGCTCTCAATCACATGACCCTTGAAAATCATGACTGTTAAAAGTGTAGTCTGGCTACTGTCTTCCCATTTCAGCATTTTAAATGTCCTTATATTGAAGAATTAACTAGAGTGCCCACAAACTTTAAACAAAGAAACAAACAAAAGAACCCTTGTGCTTTGCTCTTAACATCTTAACTCTGTCACCTAAAAGACTCAATGAGTCATATTTTACAATATTTTTTTTTTTTTTTTTTTTTTTTGTGACATATCAACACCCATTGCTTCTCCTCCCCTTTTGTTTTTCACCCCTTTTTATAAGTGTATTTTTCCAGGTGAAATATACCGGCCTCCTTAAAATCAAGGGGCACTCCACTGGAGCCAGGACTCTGGGTGACTGTAAACATGATTTAATAGAGAATGCAGAAGCTGTATGATTTTTATCAACTGAGATAGGATACCACTGTGGAAAACATGGAAAAAAAAAAAAAAACTTTCAGAAAAAAAAAAAAAAGATATATATATATATATGTAAATGTGTTTATATATAGAAGCTCATACCTTAAAATTTTGTTTTTGTTTTTCCCCTCAAAATGCATCATATAATATCACATTACATGACTGAAATGAAAACATCCAATTTATTTTTACAGATTAGCCACAGTGACTCCCATGATTTATGCTCATGGCACTGGAAATGTTTGATATGAGGCAAGGGGCAACTTGCAAAAATAAATCTTAGATTTTCTTCTCCCTCTGTTTGCCTTGGGTTGAGGACATTTGCTGCCTTTCTGGAGAAGCTTCAGGAATTGATGTATTATGCATGAAGTAAAAACTTCGACAACAAAAGCACAGGAAGGACTAACAAACCTGTGTTTACTGTACTGCACTATACATGTATGTTACTACACGATCTTGCAATATTAACTCCAAACTAGACTTTGGAACCAGGCAGCAAGCCCAAAATTGTGATAATCTCCTCCATAAGAACAGAAAAAAAAATAAAATAACATTGCTGAAAGCTGAAATGTTTGGTTTCAGTCCCCAAACTCCTAATGTACATAAATTTGTGTTTAAGTTATTTTAAATTACATTATGTAAATTTACATTACATTAAAAAAAATGTAGTAAAAGTCTTGTAAACTGGTTCAAGCCCTGCTCTTCTGCATGCTGCACATGGGAAAACACTGGCTGTCAGAGAGAGAGAACGAACATAAGGCTGCTCAAGCAACAGGAAGCCTTTAGCTAAGTTTAAGTCTTTCAAAGGTTAGCGTGGACGTTTGTCTGAAATAACTGATCTGAGCAGCACAGTGCCCGGAATATACCTGGGAGCAGGGGATCAGCCAAGCTTCATGCTTTTGCACAGGGACTCTCTCAGTTTAGACTCACACGTAGGCAGCTATTAAATCTGGACTGCTGTGTGGGTAGGGCACAAATGGGATTTCGGGGATCTGGGCTCAGTCCCAAGTCTGCCACAGACTTCCTGTGTGATCTTGGGCAAGTCTTCTCACAAAGCACAAAAAATTAGGCAGGTTTTTGTTGTTTTGTTTTGGTTTTATTTTTAAAAGCCCTGGCTCTAGCAGTCAAGTCTTAGGCAGGTTTTTGTTGTTTTGTTTTGGTTTTATTTTTAAAAGCCCTGGCTCTAGCATTCAAGTCATACAAAATTCTCCTTATGCTGGCATGAATAGATAAATAAAGTAAATACACAACGTTTTAGCTTTTAAAGGAGATAAGCTTGAAACCACAATCGCAGCATAACTTAATGGCTCAAAGCTACAGAACAAATTTGAGAAGTCCTTTGTAAATTAGTTTGGGTGTCTGGGACATGTGTTAGGATATAAAATTGTACAGGATTCATTTCTGTACAGCAAATTCTGTTTGTAAAATCAGGATCATTTTACTTTGCTTACAAAATTGCTCATAAATTGTTTGCGAGATAGCTGAGACTGAGACTAGAAAATAGACAGACTGATGAGAAAGCTTTATCAGTGTTCTGTGGCTTGTTTTTGAATTCCCCCTTCACACAAATTACGTCTTTCAGCATTATTTCAGCAACGACTAAAAGAAAATCCAATCGTGTCAGATGATTCTCATGTTCTTGCCTCTGCAGCAGTGCACACAGTAGTATGTTTACAGGAAACGCCTGCTGCAGGGGCAGTTTGGTAGTTAGGCATGGTCTCCAATTTGACTAACATGCTCACATGATTAGGTTTACTAAATGAAGACACAGATGAGGCAGTGATGAGAAAGCTGCAAGCAATCAGGTTCTTGCAACATCAGATAATCCATGGAGCAACTTTGTGCAGTAGCCGTGCACAAGGCGCCCCGCGCCCTCCCCCCCAAGAATGTGCCTTGCTCTTGCATTAGCAGCTATCTCCTCAACGCATATTCAGTTACCAGCCTCCCTCTGTCATCAGCAACAGCTTGGGGTTTGTTTTGTTTTGTTTTTCCCCTCCCCTTTTTGCATTCTAGGCCAAAGTGCTGCATTCTTTAAAAACGCATTTTGGTAGGTATTTTTATACTCTGCTAAAATGTGTAGGTCTACTTACTTTATAAGCAGCACATTTAGCATAGAACAGTTTATTTTTATAACGCAAAAGAAACTGCAGGTTTTTTTTTCCCCTTTCTCTATTTCATACATCCTGTGTGTATAAACTCATAGATTTCAAGTCCTGTGAGGCATGCTGACAGTACAGCTATTAAAGATTTTCTATTTGACCTTGATTTTGTTTTGTTTTCACTGAGTATGAACTTTAACAGACTTGAAGCATGGCATGCCTTTTCTTTCCATTTATCACAGTACACGTAGTGTAGGAGAAGACATGTAAACAGAAGCTTGTTCGATAGCACGTAGATTTCTATAAATAAATAAATAAATAGCTTTCTCCAAGCTCATTTTGCTCAACCTACAGTTTTGTTTCTGTACTTTGTTCTGCAAATGGATCCTTTTCTAAACAACAGCACATGATATGGCTGTTCTCTTTTCTTTTAACTCATAGGGTAAAAGATCTTCGGGATCTTACTGCCATTTATTTGAGTACATATGAATTGGTTGATAGTAGTAATGAAAGTAACAGAGTTGCTACTATGGTGCTAGAATGAGAATAAAGATTTGCACAGAGAAGCAATACCTTTCATTGAAGCAATGCAATCGGAAGAGAGGAGGGATTTCAGGCACACCAGCTCTTCCTCAGGACTGAAAACAGAAGCAAACTTCAAGCATGCACACATTTGTACTGTGCAGTAAATGAAGACAAAATATATGTGTTTGTTTGTTTGTTTAAAAAAAAAAGACCACTTGAAAAGATAAACTGAAGATCCTGGTGTTGTACAGTCTGCCCCAAATGTGCTTAGTAATCAGGACCGGAGGCCCTAAACTTTTGTTGTAACTTTCCAAATTGTCCTCCCTGCTATCACCTGCCCTTTACTCTGAATATCAAGGGGCAGATCTAGAGACTGGCTGTTAATCTTCTCTCTTCCTTGATTAGTTTTGGCTTTCAGTGTTCTCACTCTCAGTTTATAAACTACTTCTTTCCACTGCACAGGCAAAGGCAAATTAAGAATGCGGTCACCAACTAATTAGCATCTAACACCATTTGTCAAATAATAAAAAAAAGTTTAATATTAAAAGCCTAGCTCTGAGCAGGCTGCTTACATGTGTAGAGGCAGGTACACACTGAACTGGTTCTAAAATTGAAGCCTAAATGCATTGTTTTGATACGATGATGTGCTTAATTTTGTATTTGTAAATATTCTTCCCTCTAAGTATTCACACTTGCTACAGAATAAGTTGATCTACAGCAAAAGCCCAGACCTGTGATCTCTGTAAGATCTGAAGAGCTCTGCAGCCGTGTTTCACTTCTGACACCTGTGCAGTGCTGTAAATGTAATTCAAATGCCACCTTTTTCTTCACTTCTTCTTTTGAGGGTTGTCTTCCGTTTTGCCTTCCATTAAAAGCCTTCTCTTTGTTTTGTTCTTAAACAAATGGAATAGAAATTTCAGGCAGACTAATAATATTATTTACAACATGGTTCAATACACATTGTGTATTATCACCAAAACACTGGAAGTAGCCCACCTGAGTTTCTCAAACTGCAGGAGACATCTCCCGGGGAATTCCCTCCTGTTCTGTATTCCACATGCACCCAAGGGCTGAGGGGAGGGGGGGTCACTGCTGCCTGGACCTGGACATGAAGGCAGAGCCCTGGGTACTGAACCATGGGCAAGGACACAAAATCATCTGCCTTAGGACAGCAGTAACGGAGGGACTGAAGACCCCATGAATATAGATGTTCCTATGTCAGATTGCCCCAGACTCTGAGAGATGCCATGGGACTGGTTAAATTAATTTTTGCACAAATTCTTTTGCAAAACTATTTATCTTAGGGTGTGTCCTCTCCTTCAGCAGTAGTGCTATTACAGCACCTAAAAGACCGAATTGCAGGGCAGAGAGAATGGGATACAAAAACTGATTTTGTGGGTCTGTTAAAAACTTTCAGGGTTAAAAATAATAATTGACTCTCATAAGCTGAAACTGCTGATATGTTAATAATGGATGATGGGATTCTTGCACGTGTGTTTATTAATTTATAAACACCGCACAACATCTGAATGAAAGGTGTTCTATAAATAGGGAGCTAATATTGATCACTCCTGAAGCTGTATTACCATTCTGGGATGGCTGCAGCTTTTTCTTCTTCCTAATCTGATCACAATGAATTCCCTGAGCTCGCTCTCTTTGTTATCATTACTTGTTTCTTCCTACAGTTGCACCTTCATCAACACTTCCTCCTTGTATCAGAAATGCAGGAGGAAAAAAAAAATCGGAGGCTTCTTAGCGTTTTGAATGCCATAGGGCTGGTATGACAAAAATGCGCATATGAAAGCTTATAAAAAAAAGGACAAGCGATTGTTTGAAACGGGGTATTTGCATGACAGTTGACAAAGGCCTGGTATGTTGCCAGATCTCACTGGTTTCTAATGCTAGTTAATGGGAACAAGTATTCCTTGATCTGAGCAGAGATAGCTGCCTCAAACGCTCTTGCCCACCAGCAGTGACTGTGCTTCCCCATTTTGAGAATCAGTTCTCAGACACCACAATATTGCTTTACTTCAAAACGCTTTAGCTTTTTTTCCCCTTTCACAACTGCCCGGTAACCTGATCGCTTTCCCTGCATTTGTTCTGTTTATTTGATTTACATTTTTCTGCTTCCCTGTTCTTGCAGAAGTGACGTTCTTGCAACTGTGCGGGAGCGGGCAGGCGCTGCGCAAACAGGTGATGAACATTTGCCATCGATGCTCTGGGCTGAAGGGGGAGGGGGAAGAGAAAAACACTCCCCAGATCTAAGAAGCTTTCAAGTAACTTTCAAAAAAATCAAGCCCCAAGTGCTGTCTCCTTGCACAGATTCCCCAACTTCTGCCACGCTGACTTGCGCCAAAATTCCCCAAACAATCCCCGAAGGGAAGTTTTGTCAATGCGCTGCCAATGCTCGGCTCACAGGCAGGCAACTCTTGAGAGCCAGCCAGGGGGAGAAAACCTGCCAAGTGCAGTACATGTAAGGAAGAGCTGAGTGTCTGCTTACCTGCAGTGCCTTCCCCTCCATGCCTCACTTCTGGGGGGGACAAGGGAGCAGGGGTTCAGCCCCAGCTTCATGCAGAATCTGGGCAGATGTGTACGAGCCAGAGTTTCAGCTGGTGCCTATAGGAGCATGCTATTGCTTTAATGGTGCTGCAATCATTTCCAGCAGCTGTGACTTCCCCACAGCACTTCAGCATGCTTAAGAGGAGTTTTGCTTTTATTTTTATTTTAATTAACCTGTTATCATTCTGCAAGACCTGATCCCACAGTGCAGGGCAGGCTCTGTGCGCACCCCTTGGATGGCTGCCCCCCATTTCAACAGGCAGGACTTCCACTCCGAGGTGGAAATTCAGAGGTTGACATTGGGGTTTTGCTACAGTGCAAGTATTGGTTTGGGACGGAGTAATAGCTTCCCTGTGGGCTGTGTCAGGATATTATTCAGGGTAAATTATCAGATTTTGATTCATTATTAACATTTTTTACATTAGTTCCTGTACTTTTCTTCCTCAAAATAAATTCTACTAAATAACGAAGTTTTTGAGAGAAGTGTTGTGGTTTTTGTTTGTTTGTTTTAATAAATGTACATAATTGGGCTTTTTCTACAATTAAAAATCATGATTTCAAATGATGCTGTGAAGCCTCACAGTAGCACATGCAACTGAGAACATTTCAAACTTCACCTTCTGACATCAGAGAAAAATTACAGTGACTTGTTCCATGGAATCAAATGCAAAACCTAAAGCATCAGAAGTGAAATGTCAAGCAGAATTGAAATGTAAACCCCTTTCAGTTTATTTGAGATGGTATTACTGCAGATTAGATAGGAAAAAAAAAATTACATGGACTTTTTGATAATATAAGAGTGTTCTTCCAAAATTGTAGGGTACTATAGTTTTAGAATAACAAAGTTGCTATTAACACAGTTTGGGAGAACACAGTTTCTGTGAGTAAGAAAGGCGTTCAGTTTAGACTATATATAATAATTGGAAACTATATTTACATGCATACGTACAGGAAAAGAGAACTGTTTGGCTGAAGTACAGTGCATTAGTCACTGATGTTGAGGAGAAGCAGAGCCCTCTCTCAGGTCTCCTAATACCAGTTTTTGGTACTGACAAAATCCTTGCCCAACAGATGCAACCATAGCTTTATCAAGGACTTCTGGTGACAATATAAACCATGAGAGTGAAAAAATGCTTCCTGCTTCAAACTTCCTGCTTCTTCTGCAGGAACAGCACAGACCAGTTTGTTTCAGACGCTGTGCCTTTCTCAGGCTCTATGGTGAATTCAAACCCTTAAAGCAGCACACAGAAGTTTAGAAAAATGAGTAAAGTTTTAATGCTGTACAATGTCCTTTGGTGCTATGTGTGTGCAGTTAGATAAATATCTTTTACAAACGTTGAAGGGCAATAGTAAATAAGGTCATTGTACAAAGTGTAAGAAGAGCACAGAAATCTATTCTGCTATGTTGGATACAAAATGGCTTTAGACTTCATTATTGAAGGTGGGTTTTCAAGAGAAATTAAGCAACTTGACAGAGTATTGCAAATGTACGTGAAGCTGGATGTCTACTTTAGGCACATAATTATTTTAATTCATGTATGTACACCAGATAATTGTACATGGAAGCAGCTAATTGGGCACATTTTCATTTGCTTTTACCTGTGCAGACACTCAGGAGAAATTGGAAGAACTCTCTATGAACATGTGCCCTCTTCATGTCCTACCTGCACCAACACCAACAGGACCTCAGGTCCTGCATGCTGCTGTGGAGCCTGGTATACAATTGTCTGGGAAGTAAGGAGGCAGTACAGCTCCTGACAGATAGACAGATAGATAGATAGATAGATAGACAGACAGACAAACAGACAGATAGATAGATAGATAGATGCTACATATAGATAGTGTATCTATACAGACAGTAGAGCTCCCAGTGCCCCCAGCCGTGTCGACATGCTGGCTGTCCCCTGTTCCCCCCCAGTGCCCTGGGGGAGCGCAGCCTCACTGCAGCACTCCTGCAGCCCTCCTCCAACCCAACTCCTCTGCAGACTTGGTTTCTGTGCTGCCCCTTATTCTGTTACTTCTTCGACCTGTGCACAAAGGCAAAGAGAAGAAAGGAAACACAGGATGTGTCTTTCTGGTTTCATCAAGAGGATATATATATTTTTTTTTTTTAGAAGTTGCAGTGAATATAGTTAGACAAGGGAAAGAGCAAGCGTACATATGTGCCATGAGATACAGGAATATCTCAATAGGCATTTTACTATACTCTCAATTTCCCTACCCCTAGCAACATGCTGACAAATCAAGAACTGCCATCCTATATACAGTACTCCAGCTGTCAGCCTTAAGTCTCCTTGCCAGAGTACAGCCTTTCCTTTGTTTCAGCTTTGAAAATAAAATCACAATTTGTAAAATAAAGGGAAAAGAATTCTTTTCTAAGGCAGAGAAGTCACTAATCCTTTCTCTCATGCAGATATTTTAAAGGTTCATAAATGCATTAACTACTCTGAACAAGAAGCCATGTACTGAATGATAATGGCTTTGTAGTAATAGTGTGCCCTGTATTTAGTATAATAATGACCAGTTACATAAAGTCAACAGACTCCCTCTACTACCCCAGGCACCTATTACTTAATTATATAAATATTTTCATTGATTTAAATTATTTTTAGTAAGAAACATTTGTCATCTGAGCAGCCTTTGTTTCTACTTTCTCATTTTTCAAAGGAGGAAAAAGATTTTTTAATGATAGCTGTGACTATATGCATTTTTTTTGAAGCTAGCTGAGAGGACTGTGCACTGTGTTAATGTCCTAGGCTTTCATGTCATGCATCTTAGAAACAGGAATAGGTCAAAAGTAAAGTGAGTTTTGTGGGGCTTTCAAAAATTGCTTTGTGTGGGAGTGAGTGACTTACAGAGGCACAACCCAACATGCATAGGTAGCACAAGCTTTTCTTACAACAGTCCACAATTTAATTAAAAGTCACAGCTGGCCATAAGAACAACAGAACCACTGAAGCGTACTCATACTTTACAAACAGGGGTAGGAATCTCCATACCCATTTTATAGATGAAGAAACTGCGGCTTGGAGAGATGCAGCATTTTCCCCAAGATACTACAAGTCTGTCTGGAACACAAACACTGAACTAAGTGTATAATCCTTTAAAGAATACCTTAGGATACCCATATGATATCTAATGGACCAAAACCATGAACTCTCAGCACTTAACCAAAGGAGGAACAGAATGGAAATGTACAATATGGTAGGATTATCTGAGGCTACTTTTATGCTTAGATATCTCCTTTTTTTTGTCACCAAAGAGATGAGGAAAGCAATTTTTTGTCCTCTTCTTTGTTCAAGAAAAAAATTAAGGCGTGCCTTTGCCCTTCATCTGGGATTCCTGCTTAAAAGAGCAGCCCAGTTGAAATTTCTGTGCAGTAGCATCAGATGAATTTTCATACATTCCCAATTCTAAGGATCTGTATAGTGAATGTGTAGGTCGTGTACTACTTTTCTCGGAAATGTTGGATTTATTGAGCATGCGATATATGGTTGATTCACACATGTGCAATAAGTTTGATGCATCCCGGATACATCAGGTTTATTCTACATGCCATTACACAGCACATGTGCACATATTTCTGTCCAGGAAATCCCAGACAGAAATGTAGCAGCCCCAGATTAGCTGTTCATAACCAGGGAAGAAGTGAGTGGATTAGGGACCTGCTGGCTGTGAGGAATACATGTATATTGACTCTCGGCTTTGGAGACAATACTCATCATCCCCAATGCAAAATCCCGAGGGGAAATATGGGAAATTTCCATCTCTGGAATGTTAACAAGTCAGCTTCATTTCCCCCAATTCATTGCTGTAGGTTTTTTAGGATTGAAATTATCCAAACTGCCTTTCATGCCACGATATTCAGGAAGGTCCAGGCAGGCTCTGATTGACTGCACAGCGTAACGGGGAGCGCAGCCTGGGCCACTGCCATCACAGGCAGGGGAGCTTAACCCAAGCTTTTTTATTTTTATTTTATTTTATTTTATTTTTTAAAAAAAGGAATCCTAATTAGATGGAATATTAGAGACTCACCTGGGAATCTCATTTTTTGCAAGCCAAAGACAATTAGGAAAAGTCCATGATTAAAAAAAAAATAATCCTGAAACTGCTTCTTTAGCTTGCAGAAGCAACTCATTTATAACACAAGGACAGGACAAAAATAGCACATAATATTTCCAAAGTCTGCAAGAAGTAAGTGTCTTGAACAGAAATATGTGTTAATCTAAGAGAAAAGCCAGTTTATGTAATAAATGAATCCCAATGAAATGAATAAACTCGACTATTACAAATATAATATAATGCAAGGCAATACAAAATCAGAAGGAAAACTATGCTGCAAAAAAAGCAGGAATTCCTTAGGGAAAATTGTTGCCCCAAGACTGAAGTTGAAATTAATTCCTAGAATCTTAAATGATAATTTAAAAAATGCTTCACTGCAGATTTATTTTGAATATCGTATCTTGTCAACAGACAAAGGGTGAGAAACACCAAAGTGCTGTGCTAAACGCACTCATACTAATCAAGGTCAGATGTCTCCATAAACTGCGAAGTGTTCAGATGCACTGGATTGCACTGGCTCACTTGTAGAATTTTCTTCCCCTGTATCTTTTAATTTGCTAAATGATTTGAGATAAACCAAACCACCTACGTTCAATTAGTTTTATAAATCAAAGGTGACAATTCTTTAGTAACCTGTATTATTTCCCAGCACGGCAAGCTAGAAAAATGCAGACGAATTTATTTATTGACCTGTTGTGTTTTGCAAGGACAGCCAATGTTATATTGATCCAGCTATCAAAAATACTGTAGCGGGGGCAATAACATCCAAGTGCCAGCGTCTCCGCATGCTCTCTCTGTACTCTGCCTCCCCTGTGATATCCCCCATCTCTTACGAATATGCAAATGCACCCATCCCCCAGCCCTCGCACCCACCCCGCTCTTGCTTGCTTAACCTTATTGTTGGAAATTAAACCAAGAAGAGACCTTCACATTTAGTTGGTGTATAGTTTTGCTGCTTTCATCAGTAAGCGCTGTCGCAACTTTAATTATATCTTCGGTAACTGTTCCCCACCCCCAGCACTTTCTGTAAACCTTCCTTTGTATCACCCAGGAATCTGATCCT